ACCCGTGTCCCCTGCATCGGCAGGCGGACTCCCAACCACTGCGCCACCAGGGAAGCCCTCCTTGTAAACTTTTTGACTCAGTCACTCAGCACCTGTCGGAGGACATCAGTGAGGGAGAGAAGGGACCTCCCATAAAAGCACTGAATTTCCAGATGGACGGGGAGTATGAATGCTAAGTTTAGGGAGAAAGCCGCTTGATTTTTTCCTTTTTCCCAGGACAGAAAGTTGCAGAAGCCAGGGTTGGGGACTCACCTTTCCCACCGTGTCGTGGGCTGAGGGAGGCTCCATGGCTCACAGTGTACAGAGTGATCGGAGTTTCAATGAAGGCGGAGCTCAGCCTGGCAAAAAGAACCAGAAAGAGGGTGATCTGCAGCTTTAATTCACTGAGCCAAACAGATGGGGGACGGGCAAGAGGGATGCTCTAATGTTCAGGAAAAATGAAAAAGGCTTTCTCCAGATCCAACTGCTCATGAATCACAAACACATGTACACACTGGAGGACAACGGAAAGGAATAATCATCTCTTTGAGCTCAAGTAAAAGCTGTGAAACACACTTATAAAAAAAAAATTGTAATTCTTTTGTTTTGGAGGTTTTTTTAAATAAGAGAATGGCCAGCCCAGGCTGAAGTATTTAGGGCAACCAGGGTATAATATGTCCAACTGGTCTTTTTTTTTTTTTTTTTTTGCGGTACACGGGCCTCTCACTGTTGTGGCCTCTCCCGTTGCGGAGCACAGGCTCCGGACGCACAGGCTCAGCGGCCATGGCTCACGGGCCCAGCCGCTCAGGGGCATGTGGGATCTTCCCGGACCGGGGCACGAACCCATGTCCCCTGCATTTGCAGGCGGACTCTCAACCACTGCGCCACCAGGGAAGCCCCAACTGGTCTTTTTAAAAAAATAGTTATATATAATCAGAGACAGCGGAAAGATAAAGCAATTGAGACAAAACATAAATAGCTGGTGAATCTAAGAGGATTCAGAATTTCCTTGTTCTGTGCCTGCGACATTTCTATCAATTTGAAATTGTATCAAAATTAAGAGTTATATATAAACCAACAAAAGGGGTATCCAGTTACCTTTTGATGAAGCCCTGCCTCCAAAACAAAAATTTTCACAAGGACGCTTAAATACCCGTTCAAGACTTATTTTTGTATATGTGTGCATGAAGCATTCACTGTGACATAAATATAGAGTTCAGCACAATACATTGACCAGAACTAGAGAAAACAAAAGAAAGTCTCGCTTTTCCTCCTACACATTTGAGCACTCACAGCCAAGACAGAGCCCCAGCGAGAGGGAAGGAAGTGCTCCTGTGTCTGGGTGCTTCTCTTTTAACCAATCTAAACCCCCCAAAATCAGCAAGACTGAATCGAAGAACCTCAACTTAATAGAGATTCAGAGCCCACATAGGAGGGGGCTGGCCTCAATGTGTTCTCTGAATATCTCCAGATACAGACAGTGATGTAGCCATAGGTGTAGGTGTGGCTATAAATAACGGAGACATCGTTGTAGATGTGCATGTACGTGATGATGTAGATACAGATGACTTAGGTATAGCTGAATATAGGTGTAGGTGTAGATTTAGGTGATAAAGATGTAGGTGTAGCTATAGATAATGTAGATATAAGTGTATGTGTGGGTGACACAGATGTAAATGATGTAGATGTGGGTACAGATAATGTAGATGTAGGTGGAGGTGATGTAGATATAAATGTAGGTGATGTAGAGGCAGGTGTAGGTGTAGGTATAGATGAAGATGTTGTAGGTGTAGCCACAGATGTAATGTAGATGCAGTGTAGATGTACACACATACAGATGATGAGGACGGAGATGTGGACGCACGTGTAGGTAGCTATAGGTGTAGACATAGTTGATGTAGATGTATTTTTTAATACATTTATTTATTTATTTTTGGCTGCGTTCGGTCTTTGTTGCTGCATGTGACCTTTCTCTAGTTGCGGCGAGCGGGGGCTACTCTTCGTTGCGGTGCGCGGGCTTCTCATTGTGGTGGCTTCTCTTGCTGTGGAGCACAGGCTCTAGGCACGCAGGCTTCAGTAGTTGTGGCACGCAGGCTCAGTAGTTGTGGCTCATGGGCTTAGTTGCTCCGCAGCGTGTGGGATCTTCCCAGACCAGGGATCGAACCCATGTCCCCTGCTTTGGCAGGTGGATTCTTAACCGCTGTGCCACCAGGGAAGTCCCTATATAGATGTCTTAATACATCTAGAAAATGGACAGTAGACGATGCAGGTGCAGCTGTGAATGGTGATGAGATGGAGACAGAGCTCTACCTCCCAGTGGAGTTCAAGTCAAAGTTCCATTACGTGGAGGAGACCAGACGGCCTGTCGACAGCCACGTAAATGACCCAACCAGGTGGTCAGAGTCACGACGGCAGCAGCAGTAATAACACCTACACTGAGCGCTGGTTGAGCTCCAGGTACTGTGCAGGCCCCTCACCGGCAGCACCTCAATAACCACACCTGATCGTCCTCTCCGTTAAGACACTCATGTCCCCAGAGGCCTGTGAGCTGAAGGGAGCCTTCTCTGTGGGGGCTTTCTGACCCCCTGCTTGACATTCAAACACTTCCCCCGTCACCCTCGCCTCCTCTCCCCTCTCCCTGCTGCGATTCACTCCAGAGTACAGGTCACAGGCCACACGCCCTCTGCTACAAACCCACTCATCCTATCTCCCCAACTAATACTCAAGCTCTGTGAGGTCACAGATTTGGGGGTTCCCTTCCTGGCCACATCCCCACTACCTAGAACAGGAACACAGGAGACACTCAGCAAAGATCTGTGGAACAATAAGTGGCCAGCCAGAGAGGTTGGCGCTGTGCCCACGGGCTCTGCCCACTCCTGACCCCACCTGTTGCCTTCGTTCTCGATGATCCGGTGATACCGGTCCAGCTCATTCCTCAGGGTCTGCTGGGCGACCACCAGCTGCCGGCAGTCGTAGGATGACCTCTCCAGGCTTCTCTCGGCCTCCTCAATCTCCTTCCGCAGGGTGTCAATCTGCTCGTTGTAGAGCTGAATCTCTTCATCGTAGCACTCATGGGCATCTTTGATGGCCTGTTCTAGGGCCGCCGTCTGTGGGCAAAGACACAGCTGTAAGGAAACCCAGCCCACCCTCTCCTTTAAGAGACAGACCCGGCAGGGAGACCCTGGACGCGGCATATCCAGTTTTATTTGTTCTGTGGGTTTGTTTCTCTGTTTCTCTGTCAGCAGGGAATCCTTAAGCCACAGAGGGATGTGAACCCCTTCTCCTTACGCTTGCATCAGCACCCTCGGAAATCTGCCCTAGCAGAGTCTCCACCCCACAAAGGCAGTGGAAAGATGACAACCCCAGAAACTGAAACAAGAACTGCCGTCCATGGAATAAAATGTACAACTCAAACAAAGTACATTCTTCATAATTTACTGAGTTAGCATAAATCTGACAGCTGAAAAATTAGTAAAAAGAACATGGACTAACTAGATAAGATGCTATTTTTACTGAAATAATTAAGGGAGGAAGTTTCCTTGATTTTATTCAATCACTATGGCACTTTACTTTTCTCCCGATTTCTGATCAGTAGAGTTACATAGATGTTTTGGCAGCTAAAGGGTGTGTGTGTGTTTGTGCACACTCGCGCATGTGTATAAATAAAATAACTTCAGGGAAACTTTAACTACATACTAATGCAGGACAAATCAAAATTAAGGTAGGAAAATAAAAAGAGATGGCCTCATATTCACTGTAAGAGCTGTGACAACCCCTAAAGGGCCACAGAGTACTGATTTACAAGCTTAGTACAACCTCATTTTCCCAAAGAGAAGAGATCTAACAGGCATGGCCGGTTCTCAAAAGCAAAACAGAACAAGCAAACCAAAGCCACTTCCCCTGGAAGAGTTCTCAAACTTCATCGTGCATCTGAACCCCCCAAGGATACTGTTAAGCTCAGATTCTGACTCAGCAGGTCCGGTGGGGCCGGAGGCTCTGCATTTCTTTTCTTTTCTTTTTTTCTTAAAGGATAGTTACTTCTTTTTCTTTTTCTTTTTCTTTTTTTTGGCTGTGTTGGGTCTTTGTTGCTGCGCGCGGGCTTTCTCTAATTGCGGCGCGCGGGGGCTACTCTTCGTTGCGGTGCGCAGGCTTCTCATTGCGGTGGCTTCTCTTGTCGTGGAGCACAGGTTCTAGGCGCCTGGGCTTCAGTAGTTGTGGCTCACGGGCTCAGTAGTTGTGGCTCGCGGGCTCTAGAGCGCAGGCTCAGTAGTTGTAAGCACACGGGCTTAGTTGCTCTGTGGCATGTGGGATCTTCCCGGACCAGGGCTCGAACCCGTGTCCCCTGCATTGGCAGGCGGATTCTTAACCACTGCACCACCAGGGAAGCCCGGGAGGGCTGCATTTCTAAGCGGCTCCCACTCGATGCCCATGGCTCCGGTCTCCGGGTCACACTTTTTGAGTCACAGGGGACTAGACAGGTATCTGAATCCAACCTCACGTATGTCCACCACAAGACGCCTCACACATGCAGCTAAATGAGCACATTGGACATGTAGAGGGTGATTATTCCTGCGACAGCCTGATTCCTCACTTTATGTACAGATGTGGCCGTGGAACAGTGACATCCCTAGCGAGGACACCTGCAGACTCAGCCGACAAAGGTTGTCAGGAATGGATCTGTTGCATCAGGAAGCGGGGGAGGAAGGGAAGGAGAGAGGAAGGGAGGAAGGAAGGAAGGAACAGAGGGAGAGGTACATGCACTAGACACTCTGGGAAGCCGTCCACTGGCCTGTGTCATCCCCATGTCTGAAGACTGTCCCATCTCACACGTAGGAAGTGTCCGGGCAGCAGTGTGACCACACTCCCCTGACCAGAGCCGCAGAACCAGGACTCAGGCTGGCCTGTCACGTGCTTCCTCTCCGGGCATCTGGGAAGGGATCTCAGGAATAGCAGTGGTAGGTTCTAGACTCACTGGGACATGTAAGCCCGGGGTCTGAGGCCACCACCCTGGAGAAACAATCTTTCATAAAGTGCGTGGAGAAACTGAGAAAGGCAATTCTTCAGAAAGACAGAGACATGAAGCCAAAAGGCAAAGGCAACAGAGATGAGAGAGCCGGCAAAAGAGAGAAAAGAGGGAATCGGCGAGAGTGAGAAGCTTCCGCCGCCCGCCCTGTTCCCAAAGGTCATCAGCCCCTTTACATTTTGCTCCTTTGAGGGAAAATATCTTCACAGTCGAGAAAGCTGGAGACACCACCCCAGCTGACCCAAGTCGCACCCCCAGTACAAAGACACAGCCACATGGTGCTCCTGGTGAGAGGCACCGACGACCCATCACTTCTGTCGTGTTCCTGCCGCAAACGCAGAACCTCACTCAGCTCAGCCCCGAGAAAGCATCAGGGAAGCCCAGATGGGGGGACGTCCCACAGGAGGACTGGCCATCAAGGTCATGAGAAACAGAGATGGGCAGGAACTGTCCCAGATTGGAGGAGGCTGAGGAGGCAGGACAGCTGAATGCAAGCAGGATCCAGGACCAGAAAACACGTGAGCAGGGTAACAGGTGAGATTTCAGGCAAATCTGTTACCAGGATGGCGTGCTCAACAATGTCCTGGTTCCAACCTTGGTGCTGTGCTATTAAGAGGTTGACTTTGAGGGAACTGGGTGGAGAGTACGGGAAACCTCTGGGCTATTTTTGCAGCTTCTTAGAAGTCTAAAATTATTTCAAAATAAACCAAGCGAGTTTGACCAGGTTTCTGTTCCTCATTAAAAATTATCTCCGTTCAACCAGTCTCCTGGGGTGTCAAATACTGAGGCACAGCCTCTGATTCTTGCTGTGGCCACATGCTCTTACCCACACCGGTGTTCACACACTCTAGGAAATGCTTCCATGAAGTAAGGAATTCAAAGGATCCCTTTGAGGCTCAAATCTCAGAGACAAGAAGCCATCCGGAGTGGATGAATCCCCACGTAAGACTCTCCGTTTCCACGGAGCAGTCCTGAGAATGAAGCCTGCGGGTCACAGGCTGGCATGGCTGGGGTCCAGCGATCCCAGTGTCAACTGGGCAGCAGGAAGGCATGAAAGCTGATCACAACTGCCTTTCATCAAAGCTTAGCTTTCTCCCACATGAGCAGGAAAGGGCTGTGCCCGCAGCACCTGGTGTTATAGCTCAATAATTTAAACCATTCATCAGAGGGTGGGGTGTTCAGGAAAACCAATAAAAGCCCCACTTTCAGCAGCTCAAAGGGGGCTAACGCAACGTCTCTGATGGGAGTGATCTCGGCACGGGCTTCAGACACCGTCCAGCCCCAGCCTGACTGTGGGAGAAAGAAACCTCGTTCCAGGAGCCACAGCCCAGAGCGGGAGGCGGGTCGGTCACAGAAACAAGTCCAAGGTGTCACAGAGCCCACGGAGAGGCCCAGGGTGCTGGGGACATCACGGAAGTCTTCCAGGAGGAGGTGGGGCTAGTCCAGGTGCTGCAGAAGCAAAGCCACTCGCAGAGAGAGAAGTGGGGAGCACAGGCACCAGTGCCAGGATCCGCAGGAGGGGTCCAGAGAGGAGAGGGGGAGAGAGCAGCCCACAGACAGCCCTGGCGGGTGGAAAGAGGCAGGTGGAAGGTATGGGCCTATAGGCAGCCGGAACTTCATCTTGAGCTAGGTGACCGTGTGTTTCCGCTTGGACCACTTATTTCCGGCTGATAGCCGTCTCCCCACCGGGCTTGGGCGGCCGGAGCAGGAGCCAGGCCAGGCTCTCTCTGTTCAGTGTTCGCCAGACCTCGCATGGGGCTGGCCAGAAACGGCTGAAAGATGTGTTTCAGCACAGCTTCAGGGCTTGCCTCTGCACAGCATGGTCCTCAGGGACCCGGGCCAGTGCCTCACAGTTAGCCCATCTGGAGAGGTGACCTCCTGCCTCAGTCCCTTTAGGCACCCAGACTCCTTTGGATCCAAGGTCATTTCAAAAAGGAAAAAGAAATCAAGTGTCATTCGCCGATTACATGCTGTCTTACCAAAACATACCACCAGGTGGTGCTAAGGGACTTTACTGAGAAATGACACCTGGGCGGAGTATACTTTCCCAATAATCTGACTTTTTTCACTTTCCTGTCACAGAAACTCTCAGCAGATGCAATTTAGAGAACCAGAACGCCTGTCCTTTCTCATCCACCTGGAAAAAGTGCCATCCCCAGGGGTCTCATGTGTGGTACACATTCAGCTCTAATCGTGGGTGGGGTCCTGGGCAACCTGTGGACCAACGTTCTCAAACTTGAGCCTGCAGAGCCACCTGGAGGGCTTGTTAAACGAGATGCTGGGCCCGCTCTGGAGTTCCTGGTTCCGTAGATCTTGGATGGGCCCGTGAACGAGCATTTCTGACAAGCCCCCAGGTGATGCTGACACTGATGCTGCTGGTTCAGGGACCTCCCCCCTGAGGACCCTGCAACGGAGGGTTCCAGAAGCATCAGATGCCCTAACCATAGGCAGAACCAGCTGCCACAGCCCTGCCGGCTGGAGCCCTCAGGCTGCAAGGAGCTCCCCCTCCCCTGGCCCCCATCATGTCCCCAGTCATGGCCCTGGCCCTGCTGAGGGGCTAGGCTGACGAGTCTCCCATGGAACGCTCAGCTCAGCTACTCCACTGGGAAGTCACAACAGCCTTTTAAAATCAGCAAAAAGCCAGCCGTGAACATCTCATGAATAAGGCTATGGAGGGCCCGAGCCAGGAACCCGGGTGCCCAAGATGTAGAATATTCTGGCCCAACATGGGACCCACCCCTACATCCATGTTCTCAAATTGTGGTTCCTGGGCCAGCAACAGCATCTGGAATTTAGAAATAAAAATTCTTGGGCCACACCCCAGACCCACTGAGTCAAGCTCTCAGGTGGGTCCTGCCACGTGCGTGTTTTGATTCAAGCTAATTAGGCAGACTTTCGGCCCCATGACCTTTGCCCCTTAGCTGTATGCCCACGAATATATTATGTTACTCGGCAAAGGAACTTCTTACTCAGCTGACCTTAAAAAACAGGGAGATTATTCTAGATTATTCCTAATTCCACGGGCCCTTAAGAGCAGAAATCAGGGAGATTAGATGCACAAGAAAGATTCGAAGCACCACTGCTGTCCTTGAAGATGGGGGGGCCACAGGCCAAGGAAGGTGGACGGCGTCTGGAGTAAATCCTGGCCAACAGCCAGCAAAGAAATAGGGTCCTTGGTCCCAGCGGCACACAGAAGGGAATTCTGCCAATGACAGGAATGGGACAGGAAGCAGATTCGGCCCACCACCCAACAAGAACCTCCAGATACGGGGGACCCAGGCCAGCCGACACCTTCATTTCAGGGCTGTGAGCCCCAGAGCAGAGAAACCAGCCAAGCCTGCCCCGACTTCTAACCTGCAGAACCATAAGATCACAAGGAAGTGCTGTTTTAGGCCCTGACCTTTGTGAAAATTTATTATAGCCGCAAGAGAAACCTAATATGACTCATGTTTCATCAGACCCCCTGCTAGGTTTTATTTACTATAAGCACATATATTATTATAGAGGAAATGCTTTGGCAATATTTTGATAACTAATTCGGCAGATAATATTTTGTTTCAATATAATTGGTTTCCTTTTAATTCTATGTACTTTATACCTTTGACATTTTTCTTTTTTTTAATGGAAAATGTCAATATCTTATTTTACTATTATTAATGTAAGTATGTGATGCCAAAGAAATGAAGGCAATTTTACAAACTCAGAATTTTGGCAAATACATGAAATTTCTGTTTTATTACAGTTTTGTACCACATTAGTTCAAATGCATTTCTCTACAACTACTCCAACAGAGCTCCTCTGGAATTATTTCAGCCATCCTTAATATGTGACTTTACCAAAGACTTTGAATGTAAAATAAACATATAAAATTTCAAATTAGTAACTTTTAATTATGAATGGGATAAGAATAAAGTCATCAGATGATGGCTGGGGCTATTAATTTCCAACAAGACACTTTGTTGAAATGTTTCTTCTGATACCCCAGGTATAAATGAGAACCTTCAAAACACGAGGGCAGAACCAAAGTACAATAAAGAAGCCCCTGCAGCTTAAGCCTCCCATAGTCCTAAACCTCTGACAGAAGCTATATGCCTTTAACATTTTTCTCAGAAAGGGTCCAGAGGCTTCACCAGACTGCTGGGCAGGGGATTGGCGGGGGGATGGCACAGAAGAGACAGTGAAGCCCCCCCAGTTAGAGAGACAACGACCTCAGAGTTAGAAAAGCCAATCTTTCTGCAGCAGCTACGGGTGGGGACAGGTGGCCAAGCAGAGAGCTTTATCTCATATTCTCAGAAACTAGGCTAATCCTTTATGAAACGTCTTACTTTTTTTTTTTTTTTTTTT